TGTAAACCAAGGTTCTTTCCAAGCCGAACCAAGGTTCATTCCAAGTTGAATAAGAATCATTTCAATAGATAACCCAGAATTGACATCTCCTCATATCTCTCCGTCACTGAATGAAAGATCCAACGATCGGTCAGGTTTTCAGGTAACTTGTACAAGCAATATTTATCAGCATTCTGTATTTGGTAAGCCTTCCGGTTCAAGGTTTCGAGTCTGAAATTAATTGCTCACAAAAAAGCTTAAAAAAAAATCTGACAGTGAATGTAGCTGACGTGTTGACTGCTGTCAGGGGACAGAGTATCCCCCCGAGTGGGTTCCGGGGCCCTATTATAGGAAAAACAAGAATAGACCCACAGCCTACCCAAAAGCATGTCGTAAGAGTCGACTAATTGGGAGGCAAGGAACCAACAATCTGCACACAACTGTTTCAGATCTGTCAAACAGATGTACACACACCACTCAGGGTCTGGAACAGGACTGCAGTCCAGAAGTGGACAAACAGCCAAAACTTTCCACCAGAGTTTTACAGCTGGTGAATGTAAAGAAAGAAGGGAACTTAACGTTCCCATAAGCGCTCCATCCCCATCTTCACTAGCTAGGGCAGAGTTCTAATACCAATGCTGCCAGTCCGACTGGCTGTTCCTCACTTAGTAGATCCCTTAGAGAACGTCGCTCTTATCACGGCAGGCTGAAAAGTATCATTATTGCAAGTCAGTTTTCCAGCCTCATGTACTTTCCAAGCCATGACATCTCTAGTGTCTTATACCCACCTACCCAAGTTAGTTTAGATCGGCTTCTGTCATGTTTTCCTTGCGTAGATATCGCAACCTAACTGTAAACAACACAACGCGACAACCGCTTTGTAAATGAACGCAGAGACTGATTTGGCAATCTGAGCTACCATAGGTTTAAACAGGTCTGAGTGGCAGTGCGGTCAAGCCCTGTCACGAGCGCTCTGATGATTGTGGTTCAAACTTTCAGTCCCTGAGCACATGTTTCAAGAGATCCATGAGGTTCGTCCCTGGAGCTACTGACCTGCGTGCTTTTTTGGGGGTTCTCGTCGGACCAACAGCCGTTATTGTGGAGAAACCCGGTGCTATGAAGCGGCTGGCCGAACGGCTAAGAACATAGGGCTGTCATGCGACGGACTAAGAATCAAATCCTCAATAAGTTTGGAAGTTTGTTTTTGTTGTTGTCTGGGCAAAAAAAAAAAAAAAAAAAAATACAACCCACTTGCACAGTCCGTGGCGATAGCACTAGCCACGCAGCTCTAAATCCAGACTCAAAAACGCCTCTGCCTACGCCGCAAAAGTGATAAACACAGGCAGTGTTTGTATGATCGTTAGCTTCGACTGCCCTTTTTGTTTAATGCTAAGGAAGGAAACCTACAGTAAGACGTGAAACTCTTCCACACGGACGCTCAACAAATAAAACATTGGTCAAGTCAGTATTCCTCTTAACTAAACATTGCCAGCAGAGTTGCTGACACAGAACGGAGACGGGGTCTAAGCCCTTTTTGTCCTAAGAGCCGTGAGCCTCAGTTGTTTTAATGAGTAATAATAATAAAAGCTAGTTGCATATGCTTTACATGACATTGCAAAACCAATCCCATCATTTCTAGGCAAATTTACATCCACTAGTTTGTCATTGCTTACTGAACGGTCGGCTTCTCAATACCACTATCGAAACCGACAAGGAGCAAGGGCCTCAACTGGGATCGAGCCCAGGACCTCGGCACTACGAAGCTCGCTCGCAATGCCTAAGCCACAGACGCCATTATGCGCTTCTTCGTGTCCTGGTGCTCTTTTCATGTCGGGGGCAAAATAAAATCCTCACCTGCACAGTCGTGGCGACAGCACTAGCCACGCGGGCATAAATTCTCAGGCTCAAAGACACCCCCCCCCCCCCACCCCCACGTCTACACCGCAAAAGTGGTATATTTGGCAGTTGGTTTTAATGCACTGAAGGGCAGCTGGAAACGATTTGGAATATATACAGAAACAAATGACCTTGCCACCACAAGATAAGAGGATCAAGATGAGAGGAGACAAATATACAAGAGAATGTAAATACATCATTAAAAGAACCCAATTAGCTGTCTTGAAGAAACCCAATTAGCTGTCTTGAAGGAACCCAGTTAGCTGTCTTGAAGGAACCCAATTAGCTGTCTTGAAGGAACCCAATTAGCTGTCTTGAAGGAACCCAATTAGCTGTCTTGAAGGAACCCAATTAGCTGTCTTGAAGGAACCCAATTAGCTGTCTTGAAGGAACCCAATTAGCTGTCTTGAAGGAACCCAATTAGCTGTCTTGAAGGAACCCAATTAGCTGTCTTGAAGGAACCCAATTAGCTGTCTTGAAGGAACCCAATTAGCTGTCTTGAAGGAACCCAATTAGCTGTCTTGAAGGAACCCAATTAGCTGTCTTGAAGGAACCCAATTAGCTGTCTTGAAGGAACCCAATTGTCTTGCTAATTTTATGGAAAGGGGTTAGTGCAGACCCCCCCCCCCCCCCCCAGAGGCCCCTAAAATTGTTGGGAGGCGGGGCTCATGGGGAGCATACCCCCTAGGTTCTAGCGACTTTGATCGTTGTCTACCTTAAACTGTAGTCTGCAAGTCAGCCTACTAAACAAGGCACGGTTTATCGGATGTTCAACTGTGTTCTTATTCTTTGACTCCATTGTGAACAAGGAGTGTTCCACTGCCCCTGCTAACAAGCATGTAGTCGTTTTTTCTTCAAAGTCAGAGTTCATCTGCCTGAAAGGCAAGCAATTAGAAGTCTGCATGCAAATAAGCCAAATATATGAAACTGATGTATATGCACAACTGGTTGTGGATCAAGACCATCGTTCAGAAGTGGACGAACAAATATGACTTTCCACCAGAGTTTCATCATCATCCCGTAACACTGCATGTTGTTGGGTTACCGGTTGTGATTGACTGATAAACTCTCTCCACCTTTGGCAGTCAATTGCAATGGACTTCATGGCTGCATGCCTGAGGCCTGTCCAGTCAGTCAGGCTCTGTAACCAGGTCTTTCTTGGTCTGTTTCTTCTACTCTTCCCCTCTACTGAACACTATAGTATTGTGCAGGAGACTGGAGAGGCTGTTACATCTTATTACATTTCCATACCATTGAATTTTCTTCAGGTTCATAATTGCCTGTGTGCAGGTTACTTGAACAGCAAATCTCATGTGTGGTATGGTCTCTGTCAAAAACGTTTCTGAACATCTCGTTTCCAATGCTTGTATTTTCTTTTTTGAGTTCAGCTATCAAGTTGGTTGTTTTCGTCGGTTTATTGGTCAAGCACTAACATTCTTTAATACAGTACCGCTGTTGTTCTCTTGGTACTGTCTGTATGCAGTTGTTGGTATAGTGTGTATTTCTATTAATCTGTGAGAAACTCAACAACAAAAATCACATTATCATCATGTGTGGACTTCCCCAGATCTGCCAGCTAGGACACTCATCATGGTGGTCAACGGCGAGGTGCTCAGGGCGGATGACAAGAAACAGGTGTTTGCTATGGAGGTGGTCGCCAAGCCTGATGCTGCCAATGGAAAAGTGGACTTTGATGTCGGTAAGTTTGCCATCAATAAATGTTTGATATTGTCTGGGCATTGTTTAGTAAGTAAAGACAAGGAAGGCAGCAGGGCACTTAACAGAAATGACTACCAACACAATATGGCATAAACTAGTCATATTTTGGAGACAAATCAGCACGGTGGGAGATTTGGTTTATATCATGCCGGCCGCCTTTACTTTCCAGTAGATTACTTGGTACCATTGTAAACCGGGTCAAAATGGCAGCCAAAGTCAATTTTGTGTTTTACTTTTTCAGTGCCAGGTAACTTTCCCTGGGTTACTGGCAATTACTCGTGTGTATCAGTTATTGCATACGTATATGTTATGTATATGTACAACAAAAGTTTGTAAAAAAATTTTAAAAACTGAAATTATCCGTGATTCTGGTGATCATGTGAGATGGTGAAACATCACAGCCTGCACTCAACAGATGGCACATGATGATCTTGATGATGATAAACATCTATCGTTTGGTCAGTCTAACAACACATGTTTTTCCTGCAATGAACATGTACTTGCTTCTTGTGGATGTAGTAGTACATTGGTGATTTTATTGTGGCCATTTCTGCCTTTTCTGAATGATGGCGGGTCTTGTTAGTCACAATCGCCATCGCCATGGGTTGCGAGTCACATGCCTCCTCATAGTGTAGTATAACACTATCATCTGGAAAGACAGACTGGTGCTAATCATTATTGCCTCACTCAGGCATCAGATATCTTCTGGGTGCCGAAACAAAAAGTAAAGTGCTTTGGTGCCCATTTGAACCCACGACATACAGGTCATCAGATAAGTGGGTTATATAAAGTAACCGGACATGCATTCACTGTCTGATGTAAAGATAGTTGGCCTCTGTGGCTTAGGCGCTGTGTCTGTCTCATAATTCATAGGTGCCTGGTTCGATTCTAGTTTGGCGTCTGGGTAGGAGACCATTTTGCGTTCACTTCGACATTGGTATTGAGAGCTGACCATCATGAGCAGGACGTTTACAGAACCTTGCTCTCATCACGGTCTGCCTGAAAGAAACTCGATCTCCATCTTCATGCACTTTCATATCCAAGGAGTCACTTATCCTGTGTCCATCTTTGTTTTTGTCTACCCCTGCTTCTCCTTCCTTGTACCATGCCTTCTGCTATTTTTCCCCAATTCGTTTTGGCGATTATTACCAAAATATTTCAGCTACAGAGGTAAGGTACTGTATCGTTTTTGATTTTCAGATCTTTTTGAATAAATATTAATAAAAGAGTAAACTTCTGAATAAAACCAAACAGCCAACAAATGTTGGGGTTGGTTCTGCAACGCCTTGTGAATGATTTACAATGACCTTCTCATTACTTTTTTTTTTAAATTTTTGTATTGTCTGTGTATGTATTGACCAGCAAGTGTAGACTCTGTTGTTTCTTTCTTAGACTGCAAGCCAAAGATGAGCAAGACGACCATTTTGAAGAATGTCTTTGTTGTCAGCCTTGGTTTCACGTTTCTCTTCACGGCCTTCAATTCCATGGCCAACCTGCAGACAAGTCTTAATAAGGAAGAAGGTAGGCTGTTGTGTAGTAGGCTGTTGTGTAGCAGGCTGTTGTGTAGCAGGCTGTTGTTTAATAATGCCACTGCTGTTTATTGTCCATACTTGGATGGACGCCACGCTCAAGGAGCTGACAGGACTTATGAAATAGGTCGGCCCAGTTGCCAGGAGGAAGCGATTTTATGACTTTGCCATTGTTTACCATGACAACCTGTCGCCCACATTTGGCATGCCAGAGATTGGAACAGTGTGCAGGCCAGAAATCCCCAGAGGACACCATGACATTGGCACGGAAGAGCTTTACCATCCCTGACTACCTTTGATACAGCCATATGTCCACCCAGAGCTAGGGAGATGGGCCGCTGGTGATAACATCTGTCTTGTGGGTTTCACTGTAAATTTTGTAGTTTGGGTGTTGAAGTTTAAAAAAAAAAAAAAAAAAAGCTCACTTATACAGCAAAAGAATCCATTTGATATCTTTTGTGACTTTAATATCCCCTGTTCCATAGGTGACTTAAACACAAGGTTCAGTGATAATTTTGATGTAAATAAATTTTGCATAAAGTTAAAATAACCATCTTTGTAGAAAGTGGTAAATTATTACCTCTCCCCTCCCCCCCCCCCCCCCCCCCCCCTCAATTATTTACCCACACAATGATCTTAAAAATGAGTACCTTGCTGAAGTTGTACAAAGGAAATTATTGGTACATTACAAGATTTAATTATATAATTGACAGATTCATTACAACAGTATTTACGCTAACATGTAATGAAGCACGAAGCATGCATCTGTTTGACTGAAACACAGAATTTATAGCTTGCTTTTAATACTGTACATCTCACCAACAGAAGTCTAAGATTAACCGTGTGATCTGTTTGTTGATACAAAGCTGAATTGTTCTTTTTAGTGAATCAAACAAAAATGTTTCCTCTCGTCTGAGGGCAGCTACCTAGTTTGACCCTCCAGCAACACCCGAAGCCCAGCATGGATATCAGTCCAACAGGACAAGTGCCAGCCTCCTAGGACATGGTTATGGCTGTGTAACATCGCCAGTTAATGACTTTAGTTTGCTAGTAATTATTTTGGTGGTTGTGTCATATTTAATGTCAGATGATAGAAGTAATGACTATACACAAGGGAGGCAGACCAAGAAGAACATGGAGAGATAATGTCAAGACAGACCTGAAAACACTTGGTGTCACCAACTGGAAAGAGAAGGCCAACCAGAGAGATGAGTGGAGGTGGGTGATATCTGCAGCAATGAACCTCAAGGGCTCGGAATGCTGAAGAAGGTCAACCAGAGAGATGAATGGAGGCGGGTGATATCTGCAGCAATGAACCTCAAGTAATCAGAATGCTGAAGAAGAAGAAACAATTTTAATGACGGATATGTTTCAAAATGACATAATGTGGCCTCTCTGTAACTTGTGCCCCATCACGCAGGTGTGGGCGCCTGGAGCATGTCCACAATATACGTGACCATGATCTGTTCCTGCATGTTTCTGCCCAACTTCGTCATCGGCCGGCTGGGCTGTAAGTGGACCATCCCCATGGCCATGCTGGGCTACATCCTCTTTATGTGTGCCAACTTTTACGCTGTCAAAGGTAAGGCTGATTTCCGTCATTATGACTGTTTCCTACATTAACAGAACATAATCATCATCATAAACCACTTCTGCCGTTAAGCATCGTGGGAAGGAATAATTTGCGATCCAGTGCACGCTGGCTGCCACTGGTTATTGTCATGTCGTGAAGGGGTAGTGTGTCTTTAATGTTGTCAGTCCATGCTTTCCACAGTCGCCCTCTTGCTCTTGTGGCTGTTCTTCTGCATGAGATGACACACCTTTTATATTAACTGTTTTGCTGGTTCACCACCAGGATGAGGAAAACTCTTGATGATCCAATGAAGGTCCAGTGAGGATGACCATAATTATAACCAGAAGGACATTTTTCTAGAAAAATAGATGCTGGTACTAGCCAAAATCTTACAGCAGAAGTGAGGGAAAAAAAGGATGGCTAATTAAAATAAAAAATAGCTGGTACTGCGCACCATTGCATACCACCAGAAAGCTCCAATAATCAGTAATGACACTGATTTTCTTGTGATGACAGTGACTGCCACAGCGGTAAAGACAGCTGCCACAGAGATGGCCAAAGACATTGACTGTGAGATGACAGCAATGTTGGGATTGATGACAGTCAGTGGCAATGGTGACCATGATGTTGGCAGTGTAGAAATCAGTGTTGACAGTGATTGACAGCAACTTTGGCAGTGGTGACAGTGATGACATTAATGTTGACAGTGATGTTGACAGTGGTGCTGACAGTGAATCTGACAGTAATGTTGACAGTGGTGATGACAGTGGTGATGACAGTGATGTTTACAGTGATGTTGACAGTTATGTTGACAGTGCTGATGACAGTGGTGATGACAGTGATGCTGACAGTAATGTTGACAGTGATGCTGACAGTAATGTTGACAGTGGTGATGACAGTGATGTTGACAATGATGTTGACAGTGATGTTGACAGTGCTGATGACAGTGGTGATGATAGTGGTGATGACAGTGGTGATGACAGTGGTGATGACAGTGGTGATGACAGTGGTGATGACAGTGATGCTGACAGTGCTGATGCCATTGGTGATGACAGTGGTAATGACAGTGATGATGACAGTGATGCTGACAGTGATGTTGACAGTGATGTTGACAGTGATGTTGACAGTGGTGTTGACAGTGGTGATGACAGTGGTGATGACAGTCATGTTGACATTCATGTTGACAGTGGTGTTGACAGTGATGCTGACAGTGGTGATGACAGTGATGCTGACAGTGATGTTGACAGTGGTGATGACAGTGGTGATGACAGTGGTGATGACAGTGGTGATGACAGTGGTGATGACAGTGATGATAACAGTGATGCTGACAGTGATGCTGACAGTGATGTTGACAGTGGTGTTGACAGTGGTGATGACAGTCATGTTGACATTCATGTTGACAGTGGTGTTGACAGTGGTGTTGACAGTGATGCTGACAGTGGTGATGACAGTGATGTTGACAGTGGTGATGACAGTGATGATAACAGTGATGTTGACAGTGGTGTTGACAGTGGTGTTGACAGTGGTGATGACAGTGGTGATGACAGTGGTGATGACAGTGGTGTTGACAGTGGTGATGACAGTGGTGATGACAGTGGTGATGACAGTGGTCACAGTGACAGTAATAGTTTTGACAGTGATTATGAGAGCAGTTTTGGCAGTGATTGTGACAGTGATCTGTGACATCATCGATGACACTGGCAGCATGTATCTTATGTCATCACTCACTCACCAGGCACCATGATCCCCTCGTCAATCATTCTGGGCCTGGGGGCGGCACCTCTGTGGTCTGCCAAGTGCACGTATCTGACCCAGCTGGGAGTCTGGTACGCCAAGCTAACGTCCAGGGACCAGGACGCTGTCATTAACATGTTTTTTGGCTTCTTCTTCCTCTTCTTCCAGAGCTGTGAGTATGTTGTTTGACATTTCATTATGGTGTTAACGTTGAAATGGTTAAAATTGATCAAAGTCACTGCACCAGGTTGTCTCCCACATAGCTCAGCCAGCCTCTGCGGAATGGCTAGCCACCTGCTGGGAGCGTTGCATAAAGCACAGGACTGCAGACAGTAGGATTAACATCTCATGGATCAAAATCAAGCAGGATCAACTTTTTGAAATGCTGTTCAACTTTAAAACAGATCATTGTAATGACATAAATATCCCCATCTATTAAGTCTGAGTTTAAAAAAAGACATGTTGGGAAATATTAACTTGTGCAAAGAAATTCTGAAACAATATAATAAGGCCCCCGTGTAGGTTCCGGGGCCCTATTGTGGGAAAAACAAGAATAGACCCACTGCCTCCCCAAAAGCATGTCGTAAGAGTCGACTAACTGGGGAGCTTCCTTTGAAGTCGGAGTGCATCTGCCTGAGAGGCAAGGAACCAGCAGTCTGCATTCAATTGAATCAGATCTGTAAAACTGATGCACACGCAACACTCAGGTTCTGGAGCAGGACTGCAGTCCAGAAGTGGACGAACAACCAGAACTTTACACCAGAGTGTACAGCTGGTGAACACGAAGAAGAAGAAGAATATAATAAGGCAGACACTAAAGACTATGCATTATAACAGCACACCACATTCTTTAGAAAACCATATTAGGGAGACATTTTTAGGCTTATGAGTGAGTGGGCAATGTTCTAAGAGACACACAGAAATCAAGATACAGTCATGATGGAGCCAGGTGTCTGCACTTTATCCCCCAGTGGAGCATAAGTCTTCAACTAACTCATGACAGGTTGGTTGTCTTGTTCTTTGCTATCACATGCATTGCACCCCATCTTACCTACCTCAGTTTAAAAATAAAAAATTGGCCTTTATTCCTTTCATCCCGTGGATTCCAGTCTAATGACATTCTGGTTATGTCATTTTCTCAATGTATCCTGTCCAGTGCCAGTATCTTTTCCTCATCTCTTAATTTACTGATTCCTTTTCCCCCCTCCTAATTCTAAATGACTTGGTCCTTAGTCGATTTTACAACGGAATACCCCATAACAGTTCCAATTCTGTGCCAGTAGAAATGATACAAAATGACCTTCAATGTCCCATTTAAAAACTGGTGAAAACCCAGTCAGTTCCAGCAGAATGTTGATTCTTTTACATGCAAAGTAAATGCATTAGACAGCCATCAGATGTGCCATCACTACCAGTACCACACAAGAATTGCAGCTGACTGTTCATGCAAGCAGTCAGTTACAAAAGCCAGCAGTGTACACGCAGTATGACATAACTACAGGCAATTGACCACCCACCATTTTAAGTGTAGTTCACTACAAAAAGCCATTGTGGGCACAGCAGGAAAATGTCACATGAAATCCACAGCTCAGTGTGGCACGAGCCCTCAACTCAGTAGCTGGGTGTTGTAACCGCGGTAATGATGCCATACCGTATAATTCCCTTTATTCTGTACAGAAATTTGCTAAAGCAGGTTTGTACTTTACTTGAGTGATCGCCAAACTTTGTATCTGCAGTTTTCATTTTTGGCTTTGTTCCCTTCCAGTCGTCTGTCGGCCAGGGAGTCTGTCAGTCAGGGAGTCTGACAGCCAGGGAATCTGTCAGCCAGGGAATCTGTCAGCCAGGGAGTCTGTCAGTCAGGGAGTCTATCAGTCAGGGAGTCTGTCAGTCAGGGAGTCTGTCAGTCAGGGAGTCTGCCAGTCAGGGAGTCTGCCAGTCAGGGAGTCTGCCAGTCAGGGAGTCTGTCAGTCAGGGAGTCTGTCAGTCAGGCAGTCTGTCAGTCAGGCAGTCTGTCAGTCAGGCAGTCTGTCAGTCAGGGAGTCTGTCAGTCAGGGAGTCTGTCAGTCAGGGAGTCTGAGGGAGTCTGTCAGTCAGGGAGTCTGTCAGTCAGGGAGTCTGTCAGTCAGGGAGTCTGTCAGCCAGGGAGTCTGTCAGCCAGGGAGTCTGTCAGCCAGGGAGTCTATCAGCCAGGGAGTCGAGTCTGTCAGCCAGGGAGTCTGTCAGCCAGGGAGTCTGTCAGTCAGGGAGTCTGTCAGTCAGGGAGTCTGTCAGTCAGGGAGTCTGTCAGTCAGGGAGTCTATCAGCCAGGGAGTCTGTCAGCCAGGGAGTCTGTCAGTCAGGGAGTCGAGTCTGTCAGCCAGGGAGTCTGTCAGTCAGGGAGTCTGTCAGTCAGGGAGTCTGTCAGTCAGGGAGTCTGTCAGTCAGGGAGTCTGTCAGTCAGGGAGTCGAGTCTGTCAGCCAGGGAATCAGACATAATGTATATCTAGGGGCAGAAGAGACACTGCCAGGTTTTCTGTGCTGTCAACCTTCATCGTAGAAATCCTACTGCATGGTAATATAGATTTGTACTTGATAGTGGGCCCTCCAGTGGTGTAGTGGTTAAACACTTGTGTGCCCATCCAAAGGTCTTGGGTTGAAACCCCACAGTGAGTAGACTGTTTAAAAACAAAAATGATTTTGCCTCACAGGTCAACCCAGCCTAAAATGGGTACTAGGTAAAGTCGTGGGAAGTCAAGGAGGCTGGCATGATGTTGACCACCTCACCTATTAAGTGCCCATTGGTCAACAAAACAGAGTCCAGCGGTCAACAAAACAGAGTCCAGCGGTCAACAAAACAGAGTCCAGCGGTCAACAAAACAGAGTCCAGCGGTCAACAAAACAAAGTCCAGCGGTCAACAAAACAAAGTCCAGCGGTCAACAAAACAGAGTCCAGCAGTCAACAAAACAGAGTCCAGCATTAACCGACCATTATATTTAGTGGACAAGCACCGCACAGAACTGAACATCTGCTACAGACATTCTCTCTACGAGCAGTAGAGAGATCCCAGGTTAGGTTGGTTGAGAGTCCACTAGAAACCAAGCCGTATGTAACAGTGGAAGACAGACGCCGCCACACAGACTTTATGGAGACCTGTGGCCTCGTCTGTAAACTCCTGGCACAAAGAATGACAAGAAAGAAATGACTCAGCATACACCACTGGCGTAAAGTTTATTTATCGTCTAAGCTTGGTGTGTGTGTGAGTAAAGGATCCTTTTCCACGACAAGTATTTTGGGCATATAGGGCTAGACCTATATTTAATGACCAGTTGGTACTAGGTGGGTGAAATGGTCAGCATAATGCCGCCACCTTTACTTCCCAGGAATCCACCTGCTACCCATTCAAGGCTGGGTCAACCTGGGAGCCAAAGTCACTTAAAAAGTCTGTAGATGTCAGAACCTGAACTCATGACCTCCCAAACTGCAGGCGAGTCTCTAGCTGCTAGACCATTGCTGCTTCCCTTAGTGTGTAAGTTTTGTTGAACTGAAACTAATTTTCCTCAGCTCAGATCTGGGGAAACCTCATCTCCTCCCTGGTCTTCACACCAGCCACGCACAACCAAACATCCGACAGGGAATGTGGTGCCCAGTTCAACCCTCATGATGCGGTGCAGGGCAACAAGTCTAACAACTTTGAACAGTCCCATGACAAGGTTGGGCCTTGTAGTTAGTTCATTTGTTGTGAAATAGTACAACAGTTCATTAGTTAAATAATGGTACAACAGTTCATTAGTTGTATAACGATACAACACTTCAATAGTTCTATAATTTTACAACACTTCATTAGTTGTATAATGGTACAACAGCTTATTAGTTGTATATTGGTGCAACAGTTCATTAGTTGTATAATGGTACAACAGCTCATTAGTTGTATAATGGTACAATAGTTCATTAGTTGTATAATGGTACAACACCTCATTAGTTGTATAATGGTACAACAGTTCATTAGTTGTATAATGGTACAACAGCTCATTAGTTGTATAATGGTACAACAGTTCATTAGTTGTATAATGGTACAACAGCTCATTAGTTATATAATGGTACAACAGCTCATTAGTTGCATAATGGTACAACAGCTCATTAGTTGTATAATGGTACAACAGCTCATTAGTTGTATAATGGTACAACAGTTCATTAGCTGTTGAATGATACAACAGTTCATTAAATGTCAGAACAAAAAAAGATGTTTTAGGATGAAATTTCTCTAGTTGTGAAATAGGATAACAGTTCATTAGTTGTATAATGGTACAATAGTTCATTAGTTGTATAATGGTACAACACCTCATTAGTTGTATAATGGTACAACAGTTCATTAGTTGTATAATGGTACAACAGTTGATTAGCTGTATAATGGTACAACAGTTCATTAGTTGTATAATGGTACAATAGTTCATTAGTTGTATAATGGTACAACACCTCATTAGTTGTATAATGGTACAACAGTTCATTAGTTGTATAATGGTACAACAGTTGATTAGCTGTATAATGGTACAACAGTTCATTAGTTGTATAATGGTACAACAGTTCATTAGTTGTATAATGGTACAACAGTTCATTAGTTGTATAATGGTACATCAGTTCATTAGCTGTTGAATGGTACAACAGTTCATTAGTTGTATAATGGTACATCAGTTCATTAGTTGTATAATGGTACATCAGTTCATTAGTTGTATAATGGTACAACAGTTCATTAGTTGTATAATGGTACAACAGTTCATTAGTTGTATAATGGTACAACAGTTCATTAGTTGTATAATGGTACAACAGTTCATTAGTTGTATAATGGTACAACAGTTCATTAGTTGTATAATGGTACAACAGTTCATTAGTTGTATAATGGTACATCAGTTCATTAGCTGTTGAATGGTACAACAGTTCATTAGTCGTTGAATGATACCAACAGTTCATTAAATGTCAGAACAAAAATACATGTTTTGGGATGAAATTTCTCTAGTTGTGAAATAGAAAAAACAGTTCATTATTTGGGCAGTGGAACCAACATTCTTTAGTTGTGAAGTAGGATGAATATTTAGATGAGATATAGGACAGACATTGGGGTGGGGTGGGGAGAAGGGGCACAGGTTTAGGTTTTCTAAACATTTCTGGAAAACTTTCTACGTATTCTGTGAAACTTTTTGTGGATATAGTTTAGCCATTTACCCACCATTGTTTGTGTAACAACTGAGTCTGCGTTATTGATAATCAAAATAATTACATTTTTTGTGCATCTATACTTTGGTTTACTAAAAACTTGTGTGTGTCTAAAAGTACACTGAAAAGTCGGTATTACATAAAAAAATAAAAAAGTAGCATTTTGTTGACGGGTGGCTGTCGGACTTGACTGAATTGTGGCAAGCTATGGTAAATTTTAGTGAACTGCCCCCCACCTACACTATTATGAAAAAAACAGAAATATTTTTGTGTGAAATATGATAAGACATTGTATACTTGTGAAATATAACAGAAAATTAGTAAGGAAATTGAGTGAACAAACAGTTGTGAAAGATGAGATATTATTTAGTTGTGCCACATGATGAACAGAATAAACAGTGGGACACACAAAGTGCTGACTCTGTAGCCCTAGCAGCTATCCTCAGGAGTCTCCATTTGAAAATGCTCAGAGCTCCACATTAATGATTATCATAGCATTTATTTCTGTTCTGCCTATGTGCCACAACATACTGCATATCCCTTGTGTATTCATCTCATGTCCGCTTCTTGGTGGATGCATTTTAGGGTTGTCCTCTACCATTCAGTAAGCAATGGCAAACTACTGAATGTAAAAACTACCTAGTAAAACCTGGCAGCCATAAAATACTGGGGTTGGTTGTGGAAAGTTCTGTAAGACATAGTTCTGTAAATTCTTCTTTTGCCTTGTTAATTCCAGAGTCGACTTTCTTTGCTAGTAAGTTAATCTGTTTTATGTCCAGAGGACATGTAGATATCTTGGGCCCATTGGGGGACAGATCCAACTCTCCTTAGCAAGCATGTCATAAAAGGCAACTAGTTTGTTAAAATCAGATATGCTAGGTCAAAGGTACAGATATCATAGCCAGGCTAACGCACCTCACCAGTAGCCTTTTGAGGGTCAATGAAGAGTGAAGAAGATTCACTGACATTGTGTGTTTAAGCAACCATTATTATCCTCCCTGCCATTTATTTACAAAAGTTTCCATTGAGTCATTCCTCCCCCATGTAGGTTCTGAGGCCCCATTGTAGGGAATACAAGAACAGACCCACTGCCACTCCAGTAAGCATGTCATAAGAGTCTAATCATTGGGAGCTTCCTTCGAAATTGGAGTGCATCTGCCTGAGCGGCAAGGAACAACAAACTGTACACAAATAGGCCAGTAAAATGGATGTGCACACAACACTGTCTCTGCCACAAAGCCAAAATTCAGATGGAGAAACAACCAGGACTTTCCACCAGAGCTTACAGCTGGTCAACAAAGAAGAGTCATTCCACATCACCTTTAACTCTTCCTGTGTTTGATACTTATTCATGTAACTCCCCAGTGGCCAGGATGCTCTCCCCTTTGTGTTTATGCTGATAAAGGCTGCTGACAAAATGTCTGACTGAGGCTATTTTTTTTTTTAAACCCTTCCCATCTTCTGTAAGCTTCTTAGTCAGTTATTGAGCATACTTCATCTTAGTAGTTCACCACTTTGCCCTTGTGGGCTGTGTAGGTTGAAGTGCGTCAAGAATTGACATCACAGCACACAGAGCATTCCCATGTGTGCTCCGTCCTCATCTTCAGCAGCCAGCAGAGTTCCAAGACTGGTGGTACCGTTCACAATCTGGTTATATGTCCATCTTGCCTTTTCTAAATATAATCAGCTGGCCAGACCCTCTGATTACACCCAGGTGCCTCATTCTCTCCAGGCCAAAATAATCTTGTTTCTCTACTGGTTTCGTTGCTTGTTCCCAAAAGACCTTGACTGAGCTATCTGGAAAGACTGCCGTCCTGCAAGTCTATCCTATATACAGCACATTACCCAGGGAATACTGACCCAGTGAGTCAACACAAGTTTAATGGAACTAAAAGGGAACTCAAAATAAAAAAAATATTGTCATTTTCACCACAAGAATTCTGTGTAAATGGCAAGAAGTCGGTCACACTCTAGCATAGTTGCATGCAAGGTTACATACAAGCATAGCTACATACAAAGTTACATTTTCTTCATCTGTACAGGTGTTTACAGTGTGCGGTATCTACCTGGGTTCAGCCGTTGTTGCTGCCATCATTGTTTCTATCTTCCTTGACCCAATAGTTCTTGACAAGGAAAGAAGTGAAGATGACAGAAAGCTGAGTCCACGGCTTCTAGTGTCAACTTTCCGACACCTCATCTCCTCTCCCATTCAGCTGATGCTTATTCCAGTCACCATCTACAGTGGACTTGAGCAGGCATTCATGGGAGGGGATTTTACCAAGGTAAGCACTTGGGTCCCAAATATTGGGACAGCTAGACCGTTTCTTCCAGCAAAAGACACTCATGATCAGCACTAACGTCTCATACAAAGCATATTTATTCCCACTCTGCGCTACCAGTGCCAGACATGGTCACTCAAACCAAACAAAAACATGCAAATGAGATGTATGCATAAGAAGGACACAATCCTACGGTTCCGAGGCCCCTGTGTGGCTTTAAATAAAAACAAAAATAGACTAACTGCCCCCCTAACAAAACTCCTCTAATTCAGGATTGTCTTCACAGTCGGAGTGCATCTGCTGAGGCAAGAAACCAACAGTCTGCATAAAAAAATGCCAGATTTATGAAACGGATGTGCGCAAGACCCTAGTCCAGTAGTGAATGAACAACCAGAATTTTTCAGTTTAGTCAGTGAATGCGAATAAGGAAAAAAGCTGGCACAGAACCAATTATAATTGACAAATAAAGACAGCAGGTCAAATGATTTGCCAACTTAAAGAGGATTCCTTGTGACACCAAACCATACAAGATATACACTACAACAGGATGTAGAGCCATGGGGTAGACCAAGAACAAGATGTAAAGATAACAGTGAAACTCAACAGCAGGAAGTGTTTGTGGTCAAGCTGACCAGAAAAGCAGGAACTAGCAGGACATTATATCCGCCTCAACAACTAAAGCCAAAATAGGATATGAAGAGAGAAGCATTTGAGTAACTTATACATTCATATATATATATATATATATATCGTCATCCGTCATGTAGCAGGTCCTTTTACAGAACGTCGCTCTCATCACAGTCTGCCTGAAAGAAACTCGGTCTCTCGCCAGTTCTCCCGCCTCATGTACTTTCATACTCAAGAAGTCACTTATATCCTGTGCCCATTTTCGTGTCGGTCGGCCCCTGCCCCTCCTTCCTGGTACCATGTCTTCTGCTATAATTTTTTTCCAATCCGCCGTTGCGCTTGATATGACCAAAATATTTCAGCTTTCGAGAAAGGATGCTGTTTATTAGCCAATCTTCCTTGATGTTCAGATCTTCTAAGATGTCAATATTTCTCGTCTTTGTCCAAGATATTCTGAGAATCTTTCTATAGCATTTCAGCTCAAAAGCCCCGATATATATATGAATGTATTTTACCCAAGTGCTTCTTTCATCTGTAAAAGCAATAGTGCACCCTGACTGGGCAAATATATATACTGTGTGTGTGTGTGTGTGTGTGTGGCGCTCATGCACGCAGACACTCACACACACACTCTTCATCATCAGGTGCCTTGTTGACTGGCGTGGGCTATCATGCCTCTCCACAATCTGTGATCTCCTGCAGCATGTGCAGACACACCTCCATGCCATGCAACAAGACTGTCTAGAATCTTTTCTTGTCTTTTCTCTATTCCTTCTTCCAAAGATCTTTGCAGGGGTCACATTTTCCATTCTACCATTTACTTTTTTTTTACAGTAGCTGGATGACGGTTGGGTGTCACCCCTAAAACATGATGCTCCCTAATGGACGAAGCCATTCCACTGGAATCCCCATTCACCTCACTATCTGAATTTGTAATGTTTAGAGGCATGATTATCTAGGGATAATAGAGGTTTCCCCTTGACTTCCGCCAGTTTGTGTATGGTTTGACTACAATAGCTTTGTCTAAAGAGACTTACCCTGCAAGGTCACTTTTTCAATATATTCGTGGCTAACCTCTACATCTAGACGCCTTTTCACCATCAGCCACCTGGTTGGCGAGCCTAGTAGTAGGACAGGCTTCTACCCCAGGGAATATTCTTTAGCCACGCCAAAAATACATTTGCTCAGTGAGATCTGGCTAGAGGGGTGCACTATTGCTTTTGCATGTCTCCTTCCAGACATGTCCGTTAGTCTGCTAGTATTCAGTTTACTTGGCTTTAATCAATAATTTATCCATTGTTTATACTGGCTTAATTAATGGAGAAAATAAGGGCTTTTAAGCTGAAATGCTTTAGAGATTCTCTTAATACCCAAGGCCCAAAGCGAAAAGAAATACTGACATCCTAAGAGACCTAAACATCTTTAGAGATTGGCTAGAAAACATCTTGGCTAGGAAACATCTTGGCTTGGAAACATCTTGGCTAGGAAACATCTTGGCTAGGAAACATCTTGGCTAGGAAACATCTTGGCCAGGAAACATCTTGGCCAGGAAACATCTTGGCCTGGAAACATCTTGGCTAGGAAACATCTTGGCTAGGAAACATCTTGGCTAGGAAACATCTTGGCCAGGAAACATCTTGGCCAGGAAACATCTTGGCCAGGAAACATCTTGGCCAGGAAACATCTTGGCCAGGAAACATCTTGGCCAGGAAACATCTTGGCCAGGAAACATCTTGGCCAGGAAACATCTTGGCCAGGAAACATCTTGGCCAGGAAACATCTTGGCTAGGAAACATCTTGGCTAGGAAACATCTTGGCTAGGAAACATCTTGGCTTGGAAATGGTTAGTAAACATCTTGGCTTGGAAACTGAAATATTTTGGCCATCTCAAGAACAATAGCAGAAGGCAAGTTACCAGCAAAGAGGAGCAGGGCTAGCTAGGATGATGAAAGGCAGAGGATATTAATGATACTTTGAGTGGGAAAGTGCTGAAGCGGGAGAGCTTGCTTTGTTCATTTACCTTAGGCATTTGTTTTCATCATAAAGATGTCACTGATTATGTTAGTTGAGTTAGATGTGTGCAGTTTTCATAGAAATATTGTCTCTTCACTTCTAGGCTTACATCAGCTGTACTCTAGGCATCTGGAATGTTGGCTACATCATGATCTGCTACGGTGTGGCCGACGCCATCTGCTCCATCCTGTTTGGTCGGCTTGTGCAATATGTTGGCCATATTCCTTTCTTCATTCTCGGTGAGTAGAATTTCCCTCTTAACACTTCCCTTCTCCCGTGTTTGTTCTGGGACTTGATTTTTGAACAACTCCCCTGTTATAAGACCCAACCATTTAAGGGTTGGCTGAGATTGGATCTGTTGGACTGATAGTGCAGCCTCGCTGTAAACCAAGAAATATGTTTTTCAAGAGTGATAGTAGTGAATGAAAGTTGTGGTTAGTGCACCTCGCTACAGCTCTCTGGCTCAGAATAGCCTCAGATTAATCATTAAGCACACTAAGTATGGGGTTAGAGCATCAGAACAGGAGGGGGGTTCCAGAATCAACAACCTTGGAGCTGAGCGTTTTTCTCAGTTGATTTGATTTGATACAAGAACTGACATCACAGCACTCGGGGCATTCCCATAAGCGCTCCGTCCCCATCTTCAGCAGCCAGCGAAGAGTTCCAATACTAATGGTGCCAGTAGCATTCTGATTAAACGTCCGTCTTGCCTTTCCTCTGAGCCTCAAGCATTTGTCAGAACCTCTCGTCACTTCCAGCTGCATTAGTTGAAGTATATTTAAAAATCTCTTTTGAACTTTGCAACAAGGCAGGCAGGATGCTTTGTCTCCATTAACCATGACATAACTTATCAGTTGTTCTTTGAAGGGTCTATTTCTCTTCTTCAGTAGCTTCATGTAAGTGACTGGGGGAGATGTTAGGGTATTCTTGGGCTGTGCTGTGCAAGCTGATCTGAAATTCTTTAAGACTATCCTTGATGCTGCCCTTGCTCTCTGTTCATTATATTTCTTAGCAAAGTTATTTGTTTTGTAGCAGCTGGTACCAGGGCATGCTGGGCAGGTGGCCAAACCATCATTTGTGATGTCTATCATGTAGCAAGAATCCCTGTGTGTGTTCCTGGACCCCATTGTGGTGAAAACTAGAACAGACCCACTGCCTGCCCAGCAGTAAAGTTTGGTTGTTCATCCACTTCTGGACTTTAGTCTTGTTCTAGAATCTGCGGTTTATGTGCACATCCATTTTATAGAGATGATTTTTGTGTGTGCAGACTGCTTGTTCCTTAAACTGACCACCAGTTAATCAACTCTTATGCCATGCTTGTTGGTGGAAAATGTGGGGAGGGGGGAGGGGGAAGATGTCTGTTCATTTTTTACCCACAGTTGGTCCCTGGAACCAACATTAGAATCAAATATTTGATCTCACATAATTTGTGAAGCCCACTTAGTCATTCCTTGAAATATAACTGAATTGTTTTATCCGTTTTATTCCTGCTGTTACTTTAAACTTATTTGTATTGTTTTACCTTAGTTATGGCTTTAAATCATCATGAAAATTGATGGTCATCTTGTTTGAATGCAACCACAACTAACACAGGCACTACCTATGATCATATCTGGTGTGACAGCAAGATGGCGCCAAAACACAATATCCAATACCATACATCAAGCAATTGCTTGCAGACTGCTCCTTAAAATTCAGTAAAAAATGTTGAGCTCCAAGTGTGGGTTCCAGGGCTCCATTGTGGGGGAGGAGGGGATGAGGGGAATAGACACCCACTTCCCCTCTCTCCCCGCATAAGCATAAAAATCAACTCATTAGGGGTACTTTCTTTGAAATTGGAGTGATATCTGCCTAAGAAGTCAGGAACCAACAGTCAAATGGATGTGCAAGCAAAAGTCCTGCTCGAGAACACGACTCAAGTCCCCAAGTGGATGGACAGCCAGGACTTTCTATGGGAGTTTGAAGCCAGTGAGCAGAAAACAACTGACAGATGGTTGGATAGACAGAATGGTCAATGTTGAATTAAGAATTGATGCCATAGCTCTCAGGACACTCCCACAAGCGCTCCATTACCATCTTCAGTAGCAAGGGAAGAGTTCAAATTTCGATGGTACCAGTAACTGTCTGATTGGACATCTGTCTCACCTTTCCCTGTTGAGGACCGACCAGATTCCCTGGTAACTCCTTGCAGCACTATTCTTAGTCTGTAATGATCTGTTTGTGCCTTCACACTGTTGACTCACTCCTGAAGGGCCCTCACAACATCTAGCTTGCCATACATCAATTCACCACCTGCCCGTGTGGGTTCCGGAGCCCCATTGTAGGGAGAACAAGAATAGACCCACTGCCTCCCCAAAAGCATGTCGTAAGAGTCGACTAATTGGGTAGCTTCCTTTGAAGTCGGAGTGCATCTGCCGGAGAGGCAAGGAACCAACAGTCTGTATTCAAGAGAATGAGATCTGTAAAACTGATGCACACGCAACACTCAGGTTCTGGAGCAGGACTGCAGTTTAGTAGTGGACGAGCAACCAGAACTTTCCGCCAGAGTGTCCAGCTGGTGAAAGCGAAGAAGAAGAGAATTCACCATGTGGTGCAGAACTGGCCAGTCTACTGCCCATTTCCCAACACACCGGCAAAAATATCCACAGAACAGTAGCTACCTGGGACCTCTGAAGCGATGCTTGCCACTCTGCATGGAGCATGAGTGTCTCCACCATTACTCAACATGCTCTGTGAGTCAGTTACAATCACGTCAGGTGTGTACAGCAGATTCTCAGTTCAGCAGAAGGCAGCAGTGACTGCCTCCACCTCTATTCTCAAACTAGACTTTATGATATCATATTCCAGGCTTTGTTTCACCAAGCAACGACCATTTCCTTTTGCTATGAATAAGTCAGTTAAACTATTGAATAAATATTTGTATTTTCACTTGTATCTGGTCAGCGTTTGTCATCCACGGATCACTGCAGATAACCTTTCTCTACTGGGAACCACACAGGGAGGACATGCTCATCTTCTATGTCTGTGCTGCCCTCTGGGGGATGGCGGATGCAGTTATCCAGACCCAGCTCAATGGTGAGTGGACGGGAGAGGTTAGATAGCTTCCAGAGGAGTGGTCTCCCTTTTTAGGCCCTGCCTCCCTTGAGTATGACAGAACCACACCTCCCCCAACTGACACAATGGAGTCAGAAAGCAGTTGTGTGTTCCTAATCTAAAATTAGTTAATACGATTTTTAATGGCAGATGTACAGCTGCTCATGTAAACATCTTGGTTTTTGTTTGTTTTTGTATTATTGAAAAAGTAAGTATCAAAGATTATTAAATGTACAAATGGAGTCATTTCCAAATTGCTTGATGCCCCATTTGAAACTGTGTGCCCCCCTCCCAGCCTCTAATGGATACGTTTTTCAAGAATGACAGTCGTGAATGAAACTTGTGGTTAGTTCACCCTGCTACAGCTCTCTGGCTCAGAATAGCCCCAGATTAATCATTAAGCACATGCTTAGAGCATCAGAAATGGAGGGGGGTCCCGGTATCAAGTCATGGAACTAAGCGTTTTTCTCAGCTGAAGTATATTTAACAATCTGTCTTGAACAGCTTTGCAACAGGGCAGGCGGATGCCTTATTTCTATTAGGTATAGAAGCAAACATGTGCTTTAGAATTAGTGTGGAGGATCTGATCAAAGATTTTGGAATTTACACACACAAAAAAAATGCTACAAATAGAAAGTTGAAGCATATTAAAAATATAAAGTGGAATGATACAAGACTAGACATTTTTCCATCTTACTGTAAGTTTTGTTTAACTTGATATATTTTATGGTTGAATATTTATATTTCGAATTACATATACAAGAGGGGCACCAGTGCTGTCGTAACCTTTGGGGCCCCCCCCCCCCCCCCCTTCCCATCTTCCATAAGTTTAGGGGGCTCCATGCTAATCTGTATATGTTAAGAACCAATGACTGTGGATACACTGGAATTGACTGGCTGGAGAACTAGATGGACGACCTTGATTTTGCTCATGTCATTATTCTGCTAAGTAAACAAAAACGATGTGCACAGAAAATCCGACGATTTAGCCCATCAAAAGTTGGACTGCAAAAACGTTATGCAAGAAACAAAAAATTAAGTTATTGAAGAAACCAATAACAAATCAAGCCAATGTTACTGTTACCCTAGACAAAAAAATAATTAAAGCAAAAAAATTATTTATTTAGGTAGTAATTTTGACAGTTAAGTGAATATAAAGAAATCAATTGATACATTTGGCAAGACATCAACTTTTAAAAGCTTGATCAACATATAGATGGAGTTATGTAGTTTTATAACCAAGATGATAGATGGAGTTATGTAGTTTTAGAACCAAGATGATAGATGGAGTTATGTAGTTTTAGAACCAAGATGATAGATGGAGTTATGTAGTTTTAGAACCAAGATGATAGATGGAGTTATATAGTTTTAGAACCAAGATGATAGATGGAGTTATGTAGTTTTAGAACCAAGATGATAGATGGAGTTATATAGTTTTAGAACCAAGATGATAGATGGAGTTATGTAGTTTTAGAACCAAGATGATAGATGGAGTTATATAGTTTTAGAACCAAGATGATAGATGGAGTTATGTAGTTTTAGAACCAAGATGATAGATGGAGTTATGTAGTTTTAGAACCAAGATGATAGATGGAGTTATGTAGTTTTAGAACCAAGATGATAGATGGAGTTATATAGTTTTAGAACCAAGATGATAGATGGAGTTATGTAGTTTTAGAACCAAGATGATAGATGGAGTTATGTAGTTTTAGAACCAAGATGATAGATGGAGTTATATAGTTTTAGAACCAAGATGATAGATGGAGTTATGTAGTTTTAGAACCAAGATGATAGATGGAGTTATGTAGTTTTAGAACCAAGATGATAGATGGAGTTATATAGTTTTAGAACCAAGATGATAGATGGAGTTATGTAGTTTTAGAACCAAGATGATAGATGGAGTTATGTAGTTTTAGAACCAAACGTGAAATAAAGTGATTGAGGAGGTGAGGACCCCCCAAAAGAAACCCTAAAATTAAGGTTCCGTCTTGCCTCAGTGGATTGGAGCCCAGTAAAACTCGGCAATGAAAGTAATTAGAAAATATGTCAGAGATTCTTTTGATGTCATTGACGCATCAGGCATACATTAAAATTTTTTTTTAGAATAATCAGTGCTTAAGTATCTGGTCAGCATAACACTGGCCACCTTTGCATCCCAGGACTGGCTCCAATGTTAGGCTGCATGACCTGTTCATGCACCTCCACAGATCTCAGTTGTTAGTGTTCTAGATCTGTTCCACTGATATTTCTTTATGCCACTGTCTTAAGCCATCAACAATCTTATCTCTTGGTCTGCCTCTGCCTCTTCTACCAATGATATTCTCCAATGCTCTTTTTCTCGTCACATGACCAAACAACTTTGACTTCAATGAAAATAACTTAGCCAAAAAGCCCTAAATGTTTCACTAAAATTTACTGCCTTGTCCTTCCTCCCCAGCCTTGTATGGCAGTGTCTTCTCTGGGAATGCCGAAGCTGCATTTGCCAACTATCGACTGTGGGAGTCATTGGGGTTTGCGGTGACTTTTGCCTACAATGATTACCTCCGTACCGACATGAAACTGTACATCTGTCTGGGCGTCCTTGGTGCATCTGTGGTGTGCTATACGATTGTTGAGGGACTCCTCTTCAAGGCCAAGACCAAATCTGCAAACATTACGTCTCCATAACTTCTTGGGTCAACACATGGGAACTTCAGTCAAGGATTCTTTCCATATCAAGGATTCATTCTTTGTCTTCGGTGATTTATAGTGTTGATCAATGATTAATTCAGTAACCGGTAGTTACATGTAAAAGCTGGTATTTGTGTTTCATGTACCGACTGGTGGTTGTTTTATGTACAGACTTGTGGTTAAATTTCATGTAACAGTTGTTTTTATCCAACAACACTGATGGTTGTTTTATGTGCAGACTTGTGGTTAAATTTCATGTAACAGTTGTTTTTATCCAACAACACTGATGGTTGTTTTATGTGCAGACTTGTGGTTAAATTTCATGTAACAGTTGTTTTTATCCAACAACACTGATGGTTGTTTTATGTACCAGTTGATGGTTTTGTTTCATGTACCAACTAATGTAACAGCTGGTAGTTGTTGAAAATACTTTTGATATTTGCAGTGAATGTGGTCTGGAAATAATGAGAAATATTTTGTTACAAGAATGTTTATAAATGATAAAGTGGACATTGCTAAACAAAATAGTTTGTTAGTTGCAAGCTATACTGATGCTTGGCCAGATAAAAATACAACCATAACAAAAAATGAAATTGAATTAAGAGTTCAAACATTTTCAAACCTAACATAAAAATAATCACCTAAAAAGCCTAACACAGGCAATGATTGGTGCTTGTATACATCATTTTTTTTTGTCTATACTTTTATGAAGGCCAATATCATTACCTGTTATTAAATTTGTTTCATTAATCTGAATGATTTCCTGGTAATTTCAGTTTTTTTAAACCATCAAAATTTGTTTTTTTAAATATAAATGTTATAAACATTTGATTGATAAATCATTGTTGTATTTTGGATTGTACTAATGACTGTATATGATTATTCTGATGATTGTAACCATGACTGTATTTAAATGACTTGCAAGGTAAATTACGAACACTTTCCGAATAGAAAAATGAAAAATAGACACACACCCCCATCCCCCCCCCCACACACACACACACACAAAAACCATAGAGAATGGAGTTAAGAGAATGAAAGATTGTGAGGACATGAGGTAAGCTGTATGCAATAACAAAGGATAGAATAACTTTGCGTAAGCTTGTTGAGGGTCACTAGAGTTTAATGAGAAACAAGTTTTATCTAAGCGTTTGTCTCTCAGCTACTGGGTTTTGAAATAAACCTTTTTTATTTTAACTGTTTAGTCTCAGCTACTGGATTTTAATCATTCCTGTCTGGGTTCCAGGGCCCTATTAGGGAACACAGAATAGACCAACTTCCTACTCAAAAGTGTGTAGTAAGAAACTGAGGAGAAGCGTCCTTCAAAGTCGGAGTGCATCTGCATGAGAGGCAAGGAACCAACAGTCTGCAAACACATTAGTCAGATCTGTCAAACAGATGCACATGCAGGTTGTGGAACAGGACTGCAGTCCAGAAGTGGACAAACAGCCACAACTTTCTGCAGCAGTTTACAGCCGGTGAACACCAAGAAGATGATGATGATTTGGCTATCCTCCGAATAACTGTCCCAAATTATCGAGGCCGAAAATATACCCTAACAGGGCCTCAGTCACATATGAAGTATGGACTTCTGGCGATTACTGCCACCGTCGAGAGTATCTCCCACATCGCTACGTGCTGCGTGGAGTGGGGCTAAACTAGATGGCTGGGACTCACAAGCAGCAGCTACTGCAAATCCTGCGGTTTCCTTAATTTTATTTGCTCGTGAGTCCCAGCCCTGCTCCGCGGTGGTCGCTGGAAGTCCGTAATTGACAAGTGACTAAGGCCCCCTGTTAGGGTATTTTATTCAGCCTCGATAATTTGGGGCCGTTATTCGGAGGATAGCTGATGATTTTAATAAGATAAATTTTATCTTTTTTGAACATTAAAATATCCGACAAAATGGTTTATGTAAACCATGCAATCCTGTTCTTTGACTGGAATTTGCTCAATCTGTTTTTTAAAAGCAGCTTGAAATAGAGCCTGGGATGTTGTAGTAGTTAGTTGCGTATCCTTTACAGGATGTTGCAGAACCAACCCCAGCATCTATTGGTTGTTGTGGATGGTTGGCTTCTCGCAGCTGGGATCGAACCCGATATTATGAAGCACGTTTGCAACGCCTTAGCCACAGACGCTGATGTTGTAATTTATTTATTTCCAAATGTTTCTCAGGTGGGTTTCCGGTCCCCATCTGTCACACACAAAATCTAGTGTATCTAACATATTTAAAAATACATTGGATAGGTTGTTAAATGTAATTTTTAGATGTATTTAAAAAATAATTATAATACTGTATGATTTAGCAGCAACTGACTGAATGGTTAAGAAGAACACAGTCTCTCATGCAGGAGACCTGGGTTCGAGCCCTAGGTAAGCTTGGGGATTTTTGTGTCGGGACTAAAGTAAAATCTTAACCCGTGCAGTTTGTGGCGACAGCACTAGACATGCAGCCCTAAATCCTCAGGCTAAAAGACCCCCCCCCTTTATTTTAAACGACCCCCCCCCCCCCTTTCAAAACTGGTAAATGTAGACAGTAGTGGCAGTGTGTTTGGATTTTTATTTATTACTTAAATGCAAGTTTTCATCCCATACATGTGTATACAATGGTTTTATTGTGGTTTTCTAAGGAATGTACAGTTCTCTACTGAAGCAGATTATACAGACTGCTAGCAGGTAGGATCATATTGTGCATCTGTGTTGCAAAGGTCATTATTAAGTGTGGCAGAACATGTTTAACTGTTTTTATTTGGGAATTACTGTTGTAGTAGGGACATGACAGACATTAGTGGTGTAGAGAGGACTATAGTAGAGCTTATATATAGTCGGCACGTGCCGAGTGACGACAGATTAGTGTTTCCCCACCTTTAACAGCAAATGGTGTCTACGAATGAACGTGAGGGTAACCAATTAAAGATCAAATGGACAGATGGGTTGAATATTTTGAAATGCTTCTAAATAGACGAGGTCCAGAGGTTCCCCCCCCCCCCCCCCCCCCCCAGAAATGCAGCCTTTGGAAATGGAACTGGATATCAACTGAGATCCCATCCAATCTTCAAGGAAGGAAAGGCGGCATGCCCAGATGGTATCCCAGCTGAAGCTATCAGGGCCAACATAAACACATCAGCAGAATTGCTACATAGATTACCAACATAAACAAATCAGCAGAATTGCTACATAGATTATTCAGTAAAGTCTGGGAGACCGAAGAAATACCAGCAGACTGGAGAGAATATCTTGTGAAACTGCCTAGAAAAGGTGATCTACAGGAGTGGGGAAAAGTATTGAGGAATTATGTTGCTGTCAGTTCTTTTGGAAAGATTAAAAGATGCTAGCTAAGAGATGAACAGGCAGGTTTTCAGTCAAACAGATCCTGTACTGACCAGCCATTGAACTGAACTCACTACTTTACAGTGGATTTATAGGCTATGAAAAAGCATTTGACAGCATTGATAAGGGCACTATGGAATCCCACAGAAAATTATTAACTTTTACTGGATAAAAACAGTAACTGCTAACACCAAGAATGGAATTCAGTGGACCCCTACAAAACAGCTTGATGATCTGGCTCTTCTGTCCCATTCACGGAATCAGATGCAAGATAAATTAAAATATACTTGATGCGAGATCATAGCAGCTTGGTCTGAAAATCCATAAAGGAAAGACAGAATAGTAAATGTGGTTTCTCTTAATGGCACCCCACTCCAAGACGTGGAGTCGCACACTTATTTAGGCAGTAATGTAGATAGAATACAGAAGGCAAGAGAAGCTTTCATAGTACTAAATTAGACATTTATTCATAGAGAAAAGAGGGAATTCTCTGGTATAACTAAACAGGCTCCAGTAGACCAAGAGGTGAGGTGAGGGGGAAAAGACCCTTGCACTGGATTGGACACACTGAGAAAACAGCATAACCAGAATGTCTTTGGAACCCACAAGGGCATAGAAATAAAGGAAGGCCAAAAACTACTTGGAGAAGAGTGCTGGAGAATGACTTGGTGTGAGTTGGCCTATGCTCCATTGGGGTTAGGGAAGAAGAAGACAAAAGGTAGAAAGAGTCATCAACAGTAGCTGTATTTTCACACACACACACACACAAAAGTATCATGTAGTAATATTATTCTTTAATGTGTCCAACTGTCCCAAATTAATCATTCTAGGTGGTACTTTTCGCCCCTACATTGACGCTGATTCGCCTATCTTGAATGGTTACGTAATCCAGTTGTGCCCTGTTCTGAGGTGGAGGATGTCTTTCTGATCGATTTTGTTGTTGTGTGTGTGTGTGTGGTATGTGACTAGTTCATCCGGCTGCACTTTTGTCACGCCGCATTTTGATTCCATTTGGTATCTCAGCAACCAGATCATTGAGGAAAAGGGGCGACAGGACACCACCTTGAGGGACGTCCTTCCTTCAAATCCATGCCGCGAGTACGTTTCTTATCTTGAAAAGCATCCTCTATTTCTTGGGAGAGGTATGTTGTCTGGTATTTATGTAAGATTTGTGGAACATTTCCTGTTGCCCAGCAAGCATTTAAATAATACTGTTCCTGATCAGTTCATTTGATGTGACTTCCACATTTTAATTTTAATGAACTGGAGTTGCAAAGCTTAGTGCCTCTGATCTATCTAAAAGCAAAACCTGTGTCTTTTTGTTTCACACGCTTCCTCCATAACTTTTTTAGGTGTAAGTCTTTTAAACACTTCTGGTTGAACTGAATTTGCAAATTTGTACAAAATTTATTGGTGGTCTGCATATAAAATTGTACTTGCCTAACAGAAGTCAAAATGGTATATGCCGTTCTTGCAGGCTCCAAAATTTCTCTAGCCTCACTGATCCAATATTTTGTGACCTGTCTAGGTCAAATCGGATAATATTTGTGACCACCACATACTTCTTGGCCTCACCTTCCCAGGTGGCCTGCACAAGCCAAAGGTGGAGGAGACAAATCTACCACCTCACAATTGTCTGGAATTCCTGTACACAAGTCAAAATGAGCCCA